GAAAAATTACGAAATTAGAGTTGAGCACTGCATTCAGCAAATAGATGATATAGAGATGGCAGAAGTAAGTAGTGCTGGGAGCTAGGTTAAGATAGCACACTCTAAAATTTTCAGTAACAGGAAAAAATTCACTTTGGATACTTTTTATATATATCTACATTTTCTCTTAGGTCTTGCTACTGGTAAACACATAAGTCAGCTCCTCTTCTTTCTTTACCTCTTCAGTCTTTCTTTCCAGGACTGCTTCACTGTAAGCATAATAAAAAAAAAATAAAAGAGTAATACCCTGCTGATACCTATTTCGTGATTCTTTTAATCCTGAAAATTGCTTTTTCCTCCATTCTTTCAGCCTCACTAATTGAAATGCTCCAGGGAACAGTCCTTGTGGAAATAAGAAAGAGCACCTAAATTGTACTTGCATTGCATGTCAAAACAAACATTAGATGCTTAAGACAACAAAAACAGCACAGGGACTCTAAGAAAATACACTGATTCTCACTATCCATGCTGCTATCAAAATACATACAGCAGATTCATCATCCCACTGAAGAACTGTAGCTGTAGAACACAGTTTTTGCACTGGATCTACCATAACCAAGAAAAAGACCAATTGGTACTCTATATTCCCTCAAAAAAAAAAACAAAAAAACACCCTTGGCTTATGGCATTTCATCCTGAATGAACAGGTTTATACACATGCAACTACACTGAAACAAACCTGAGGGCAGCAAATTGCATTGTGAAATTGGATGTACTTCAAATGACAAACCATAAAGCTCTCTAGGACTAGAACAGAGAATCAAGATGGCACGATCACAAAAACAGCACAAAATAGCGGCTAAGAAAGAATGACCAGAGTGTCTGTGGAAAGAGTTTGAAGCTACAGAAGGGGAAAGAGTCTATGAAGGCCCTAAAGTCACAAGAGGAAGAAAAATGTATGTTTCCTGATGGGAAATATACAAAAGAAAGAGCAAAGAAACATTACCTGTGGCACTGAAGAAAGACAAAATCAAATTTCCAGTCAACTTTGGCAAGTATCTAACACTGAAGTTCAGCTAATGTTCTGGGGAAGAAAAAAATCCCAAAACAAATCTCAAAACCTACAGACCCCCTAACTTTACATGCAAGTTATAGTGAACATACATACACAGTGTGTTGTATAGCTATACAGTTAGAGACATCTCTTATGTAACTTACACTTTGTCAATGCAGAACTAAAGAAATGTGTGCCTTTAAAGAATAAATTCACTATAAAGCTTTTCCTAAAAATAGAAAATGGGGAAAAAAAAGTAATTGCTTCCTAAAACTGGTCCCTGGTCAAAAGGGACACACATCATCACCTGCCAGCCTTCCTGCTGAGAAAGCTTGAACTTCTTGTACTACCAGATTTGATTCCTACTCCTGTCAATTTTATGTGATTCCAGAGCGGGCTCTGAGGATCACTTACACAATGAGACATCATGGCACAGAACTGCAAGTGTCAGAACTTGATACTTAGAATATATAAAGGATCAGATCATTAAAACGTATAAGCATATGTCCATTTTTGTTGAAGTCTACAGGTACATTCACATGTGAATGACATTGGGATGAGGAAAATCTGAAAGAATCTACAAAAAAAATTTCTTTAATTTCTGTTGAATGAGGAGTATCCCTGTACTTTCTGTATGTGTTGCTCTTCCCACAACTGTGTAATTCTTGGCACTTAGTAAGAAGTACCCAGCATGGTGCTGGACTGTTCCTCATAAGAGCTGATTATGCTCCCACAGCCACTTAGAGGAAGATTTAGAAGTATGAAACAAGTACCTACACACCTACATTTTCTCTTCATATTTTAAAGTAGAAAAACATCAACTTAAAATAAAAAATACACCTGGCAAATGAAAATTAATTTATTATGCTTAAAATTATTTCAGCCACTCAATTTGCCTCCCAGTCCTATGTGCAAAAGGCCAACTACCAGCAGTGACTGCAGCACCAGCTAAAAGCACAAGATTTACACTGGCACTCTTATTAGAGCTGAGGTAATTTAAGAGGAATGTCAGCACAAATTTACTTTTCAAACTTTATTACTCTGCTTTAAGAAGAGAAAGAATGCTTGCTATTGTAATTTTTAAAATATTTACAAAATCTTTGGTATCTGGTTTTAGTTGCAGAATTAAAACCAAAACTCTAACATCACCCCACATTGTGTTTCTTTCATAAGAAAACAAAACTAAAGAATAAGAAAAATCACATTTAGTGAAAATAAAGTTTTCAAAGAGAAATGTGATCACTCTTCACACTAGCTGAAATTCAAGGCTACCACTGAATTAAAAGGAGCCACATGTAGACTGCCCTGCAAGCTGTGAGCTTGTGAATCTGGCTTCCAATAGGTAACTGAGCCAATTCAAACCCACGCTGAATGTGCAGGTTCCAACCATAGAGAGGCGAAAGGGGATGAAAAATCTCAAGCTAATCACATCTACGCCAGTTGCATAACTTTAATCCTCAACCAGAGGCCACATTCTCGCCCTCCTGTCTGCAGATTGAGCTTCCTTCTCTTCTTTTGGCAGAGAACAATGTAACCTACTTTTAAATAATCTTTATTCCTCTTTGAAGAGAAGGATGAGGGGAAACTGTCCTGGTGGCCATTCAGTGGTGACCTTCTCTCACAGCACAGAGACATTTCAAAAATCACCTCTGCACCATGAAAGCCTTCAAAAGTAATCTCTAACAGACATGTATTTTATTATTACAGAAACACAGGAAAGAAACAAAGAAGTTGAGCAAAATACAGAAGCAGAAGGGAACCATGTGAGAAAGAAGCAATGTACTCTTTGGCTTTGCAAATAGCAGGCAACAGAAAAACCACTGACATACCATGACACTTTTCCTATTAAACCAAACACCTTTTTGAACATAACCATTTGTAACAGCAACATAAAGGATTAAAACAAAAGCCCATCCTGTGCAGCCAAAAAGGAGTTCTAACAGAGGGAACCAAATGAAGAAGCAACAATTTACTTGCTCTATCCCCTCCTGCTCTGCCTGATGCCTGCAGTTAGGAAGGCACTGTCCTCAGGTGGTGGTGCCACTCAGCCCCTGCTCTCTCAGACAAGGCTCCCAAGATGATTCCATTTTGAGGTAGACACCTGTCTACTGGCAACAAGCATGAGAGCATCAACTGCAAAACGAGGCTACCACATGGCAACAGCTTTCAGTCACTACAAAACTTGCTTCCAATTTGAAACAGCTACCAAGAGGTGAAAAGCTCCATATCACATTTCTAATCCCTCCTCTCTGCAACTTTTTTTTTTTTTTTTTTTACTTTGTAATGATTCATGTAAGTTTTCCTGGTCTTATAAAACTTGCTCCCTTGTATACGTTCCCCAAATCACTTTGACTCTCATGTAACAAGGATTTTTACAATGCATGTGAGAAATATTCTGTTGCTCATTACCCATTTGAAAACATGTACTTAAGAAAAAAAGGTCAGATAAAAATTGGTATAATGTGGAGCTCTAGTGGTAGTGAAGAAGTAAAGCAGCATGTAACACCAATCGTGAAAAAGTAGATATTGACCTTTAGTAGGAAAACAGTAAGTGAAAATATGATAACAGATGGATTTAAACAAGGAAGAAGAAAGAGGGAAAGAGCTTAGCATCAAATTAAACATAATTTCAGGCTCACAGAATGCATCACTGCAAACAACATGATGAGTAACTCTCTTTTCTGCGCACGAACTTGCATCTTGTAATTCACTGCAGTTAAGCAACAGAAAAAATAAGATCAGTTTGCTTATGTTAGCCTTAGAGAAATATATATATATATATACATACTCTACAGCAGGAAATCAGTGTTCCTTATGAAAACTAACTGGGAGTAATTCTATGCACTCTTTTTGAAAAACAGTCCCAGTCACACATTACCCTTCCCCATGATAGCTGTGGCAACTCCAACACCAGCAAGCACTCTGTTCTCAGCTGTATCACCACAAAAATAAAGCACCAATCACTAGGCAGCTTTAACACTGAGATCCAGCAGTCCCTTCAGAGTGATGAGTTTGACAGGAATTGAATCCTAAACTAGGAAAGCTCCTTCCTTATATACCAGTACTATCACACATCCTGCTGGCAAGCATTATCAGCTTAAGTCCTGTTGACAGTCGATATTCCACCTGTAAAGGAGATGGTTTTTCAAACAGAGAGGACATGCAAAGCATCCTCTGCATCTAGTGTGCCTCATCACAGAGGATGCTCAAACTGCTACATTCCTTTGTGAAACACTGGCATTATTTTCTTAACTTCTAAGATGCTAGATGAACTTGGATATAGGTTAGAAGAAGTTTATAAAGCTAAAACAACACTGACAGTTATCAGACTACCACAAAGGAGCACAGAAATACTGCAGTGTGAATGTACAAACAACTGTGCAGTATTAGAAGGGCACATTTCCAAAGTCAAGTGATATCCCTGCACAAACACACACAGTTTTGAACCTTCAGTATGAAAAACCTGCAATTCCTTCCTAGGGAAACTGCTTTCCACCAAGACTACAGAAAAACAACACCCTAAAAGACTCATGTATATATTACTGCTAACTTGCAGCAGACCCTCCACCTATTTCAATCTATGTTATAAATCGTTCAATATTTTTGCTAGGGGCTTTTGCTCCACTTCACAAGTTGAGTACACAGCACCTTGATTCAGTGCTACCCCATTTAAGACAGAATATATTTCAGCTGTTCAAGTGGATCATTAACATCTTCATAAGTGTTCTTGTTTGGCAACATCCAGCCTAATGAGAGGTTTTCATTAGCATTAATTCCAATCTAGAGCCACAGCGACAACCAGTCATTTTCTGGTTTCGCTGCATTTTTACATCTTTTGCACCCAAGGAACAGCTGTTGATTGAAGAGGCATCCCTGGACCTGATTCAGTGTATTTCAAAAGCGCGGGACACCAAACAGCCCAGAGTTACAAGCCTCCGAGAGGAGATTCCCGTGCTGTGTGTGTTACCTGGTGGGCAGCTGCACTCTGGAGCCGCTTCTCTCGCTACTCGTATTTTGGCCAAGTGCTCGTAGGATTTCTGGGGGCGAGAGAAGCAACATGAGGGCGGGCACTTGGCGAGGAG